TTTCGAAGGTTATGCATGCTCTAATAGGGCATTGGAGGTCAATGGGCATACATTGTGAAAATCATGTAGATGATTTCTGGATAGCATACCCAAACCGTGAAATTCTGATATATCAAAGAGACAATATAATTGCAAAAGACCTGACAAAAGGTGGCTTAGTGCTTTCAAACAAGGGAACATGGGATCCAACACAAGAACCAAAGTTTTATGGACTTATACTCGACACAAAAAGAGCACAGGTGATAATCCCAGATGAGAAATTAGTAAAGGCAAAAAGAGCCTTACAAACGCTAGCCACAAGAACAATGCTTTTAGTCCGGCTTTTGGCATAAGTAACAGGATCTTTAATGAGCCTTAGCAGAGCTTTTGCTTCAGCAAAAGTGAGATGTCTCGAATTTTACTCAATAATAGATGCAGTGCATCGAAAACCATGAGAATGGGATCAGCAGATCAAGCTATCACAGAGGGCAAAGAATGATGCAATGTGGCTACTGCAAAACCTAAAGAAAAAGAACAGCCACCCAGCATGAAAACCCTCTTGGATTCTGCTGCTGTTCATGGATGCTTTCACAACAGGGTGGTCAGCAACATTAGAGGGACAAAGTGCATTTGGCAATTGGTAAAGAGAATACAGTCATACAGAGATCGCAAAATTAGAATCAGAGGCAACTCTGTTAAGCTTGAAATCATTCAAACAGAGGCTAGCTCACTACTGGGTAACAGTGTTCATAGACAATTGGGTTGCAAGAAAGACAATAGAGGCAGGAGGGAAAACATCTTGGCAAAAAGATTTTATGAAAAGCATTTGGAATTTTTGTAACGAGATGGACATTTGAATATTTGAATTCCGCTGGGTTCCAAGCAAGGAAAACCAAGCAGACGAACTTACAAGATATTTCGATGAAAAGGATTAGAGACTAAAAAGTGAGTATTTTAAACTTTTGAACTCGATGTGGGGGCCGCATACTATCGACAGAATGGCCAGCGAAATAACAACACACACAAAACAGTTCAATTCACGGTGGCACTCTCAAACTACCGAAGCAGTAGACTGCTTCACACAGGACTGGAAAGAAGAAACCAACTATGTTTGTGCACCACTAGAGAAAATAGGGCATGTACTGTGCATGTATTAGAGTGCCAAGCTACTACGACAATAATCGTACCAGTTTGGGTGTCCGCACCCTGGTGGGCAACCTTAATGGCAAGCAGATATTTGGAACTTCCATTACCAGATCCGAGGGAAATCTTTGTACTGAGCCCAGAGGGAATGACAGAACCACTAAAAAACAAAAATTGGAAATTCATGGCAGTGCAGATGCTGTTCTAAATGACTTTCTCGCACATGTGAAATATCTACTATCACCAAAGTCCACTTACGATTACAAGTTAGCACGATTGTAGGAAAATATTTCAATGTTTTGCAGTCATCATAATCAGAGAAACCTACAGCCTTCATCAATTGCATTTTGGCTTATCTTATTTGGTCAGATTTCTGTCAACAAATAGTTAAGCTGTTATTGATATTTGCAGCTATTTCAAATCAACACGAGACGATCAGCCTTCCAAATCCAACAAAGAACTATTCAGTAAGGAGACTGTGCCGAGTTTTGACGAAATTAGCAGCAAAGGACTGCAAGGCAACATGGCCAAGAGATCCATTACTAATTAAAGTACTTAAAAAAATTGTAAATGAACCACCAAAAAACATAGACAGGGTGTTGTGGGCAAGAGATTGCGCTCTAATAGTGGTTGAACTACGCATTATGCGAAGGGCAGGAGAATTATCAGAACTAGTGCTAGATGATCTGAAGAAAAAGGGTAACCTGCTATGGATAAGAATAAACTGTTCAAAGATGGACCAACTTGCAAATGAGAAGTTCATTCCAATCAAACCAACAAATTCAAAGTATTGTCCAGTTAAACTATTAGAGAGATATCTATGTATTAGGGGAAAAGAGAAGAAAAATGTCTTCTTATAAGTTGCAGAAGGCAAACTAACAGTAAGAGCAATAACTCAGATCATAAAAAGAGTAGCTAAGCATGCAGAGTTAACAGGAAAGTACTCAAGTCACAGCCTTCACGTTGGAGGGGGCGATGGCAGCAATGAAGGCAGGGCTCACTCTATCCCAAATTATGGCTATTGGAGGTTGGTTATCAAAGGCAGTTACTTTATACTTAAGATCAATTGCCACAACCCAGATTGGAACATCCTTCAAAATGGGTTTTAAAAAAAAAAAAAAAAAAAAAAAAAAAAGAAAAAAAAAAAAAAAGAAAAAAAAAAGAGTTTTGAAAGGAAATAAAACAAGCAGTATCATGATTCTCTTCTTGTTCCCATAGGGTTTCTTCATAAACATTGTAACTAGACATCCAAGCGAGAATAATGTGCCCAACCGAGACAAACTCATGGGAGGGCTATTATTGCGAGGATCAACATGTGACTATGCAGCATACTTGCAATATTAGTAATAAAGCTTGGTGTAAAGAAGAAGGAAGTTGTGCTTTTCTTTCGCTGTTTGTTGTGTGCCCGAAACATTTAGTTTCCAGCTTAAAGTAACTCCCACCCACCCAGTACCCTCAAAATAATAATAATAATAATAATAATAATAATAAGAATAATAACAGAAATACAGATATACATATATATATACATATAATCAAATGATGACAAGAGGAAATGAGACAAATGATAAACCCACAGCTGTAAACACCTCACAATGTAGAAGAAATTATAAGTCTACAGCTGTGTACACCCCACAATGTAGTAGATGGGAAAAGGAAAAAAAAAACAAACAAACAAACAAACAAACAAAAAGAGAGCAAATAAAGCAGTAACAAATACACAACCATGAACACCCACAACATAGGAATTTGAAGCTATGATAATGAAAAAAAAAAAAAGAGAGAACTAAAAATATACTTGAAAATCCTCTGAAGCCTTTTGATTTTTTTTTTTTTCTCTCTCTGATTCTTTTCAAACTGTCTATCACACAACGAATATGTTTATGCATCAATGCCATCTAAACATCTAAAGAAATTCGTCTAAGAGCAACAAACGCATAAGAGAACTAGAAGACCATCTGAGCGTTTAAGAGAAATATTAGTCTTGGGTACAAACAGCATGCACTTTTCCCATAGAGTTTCTTCATAAACATTATAACTAAACATCCGAGCAAGAATAATTGCATTATTCAACAATCTTCTAAAAATATTTGCAATTATTTGAATATTATTGAAGCATTCCAAACTGATATTTCGATTTTGAAGAAAAACAATTTGATAATAGTTTATCTGCCAAAAAAATTTTATTTAAAGATATTAATTTTTAAAATACTTTAAAATCTTCTAAAAATAATGCAAATTCTTCTAATTTTTCTAATAAGAATATTATACTTAATAATTTAGAAGATATAAATTTAGAAGATATGTTCTTTGAATTAGCTGACAATACTAATACTTTAATTAATTTTAAAGTTGATCTTAATGCTAATATTCCTGATAAATTTGAAAATACTTTACATGAGTATGAAGATATTGCTAATGATTTTTCTTTAAATGAAGAAATTTCTGAAGATATT